TCTTCATTCCTGCGATTTCTCCATGCCAATCGATTTACTGAAGAAACATGGCACATCAATGGATCCAGCCGTACAACAAGGGCTGCAGCAACTGCATCTGCCGCTACTCCTCCATCTTCACTTCTTTTAACAGATAGACTCCATAATTCAATGAGACCGTTTTCCATTCCAACTGCAAGGAGCCCGTCATTGCTCTTGCAATCGAGACCAACCCAAGATAGGGCTGTGACGCTACTGTTGAACTGCGGCAGAGTCATGAGCTGCTTAACGGAAGAGTCTTTTCTCACTGTCCAGATCTTCACTGTCTTGTCCCTCGAGCCGGTTGCAAATTCGTAGCCATATGGATTCCAAGAACATGCCCATATGATTCTTTTGTGTGCCTCCTGCTTTGATACAAGCTGGTAACTAGTTTCATCGGTGCCTAAACGGACATCATCAGAACTATGTATCACAAAAAGTTTAACAATGGGCTTCAATCATAGAAAGCAATGTCTGCTCTTGATGGGTGATCATTGAAAATAATACTCATAATATCATATCAATCTCTCCTAAAATATTCAACACCTGAACAACTCACAGCAATGAACTACATATTGCCAGGACTTGGATTAAAGAGTACCTGTTTTATCGATTGAAAATACAGTGAACTGGCGATCCCTTGATACAGCCAACAGGAATTTGTCATCATGTGAGAATTCCATTTGTGTCACTGTCAAACTATGAGACTGCAAGCGTCCGACTGCTTTCCATGAACCAACTTGCCATAGCCATATTTCCGCTACTGCTGCTGATTGGGCCTGCAATATATATCATGTACAGTATAGGAATAATGTATCAATTCATGTAGAATCCAATTCTTTAATATTTTAAAACAATTTCCTCCAATCTACCCACCAGTCAAGTGCTCCCTTTTCCTAAAGGGATTCTTTCTTAAGAACTTTATAAGAATATCCAAGTTCACATATATATATAACAGCAGTACAGTGACACCATATACCTTACATGAAGAAGCAACAAGTGTCCCATCATGATCACTGCACAGAGCAAACAGCTCATTTCCATGACCGTAAAGTTTGTGTGACTCTGGCCACAGTGTATGCCATGCCAGTTGATCTTCAATGGGAGGTTCAGTGAACACAACTGGAACTGCATCAGGAATGGCTTCGAATGTATCAAGGTTATCATTTAGATTCCTGTCTGGTGTCTGCTGCTCAGCTGACAACAAAGAAAAATAAATAAATAAAACCCCATAAAACTATTCCAAATATACAAACTTATTCTCAAAGCATGATAGTTACAAAAATAGAAGAAAAAAAGAAAAAAAATTACATTAATACTATGGAAAAAAGAAATCTACATGACACTGGGATAAGAATAACTTATAACAAAACTAACCCAGTCTGTTGTCTATTGCTGCTCTTCCAGTATGTATAACAGAGACAAACAACTTTATTGTTCATTTCTCGAGATTTCAATTCATTGATGAGCGAAAAATGAAGCAATTAAATGTGTCTAAGGCCTACCAGAGATAGAGAGAGGGAGGAAGAGAGAGCAGAGAGAGAGAGAGTCACCATGAACATAAATAGGTTTCTGTGATAGCCCAAGAGCAGACATATTGGCACCCAAAATCTGAACACCTACTTGGATATCCTCAGTAAAGCTAGACTTTTGTGAAATGGCATGACCCAATGTCTTCAAGAAAGATAAAGGAGCTTCAAACACCCTAGCAACTTTCTCATCAGCTCCACTGACAAAACGATGGTTCCCCTTTCCTTGGATGATGGCCACACAGTTAATATCATGACCATGAACTTGCGGGCGAGAAATTTCATGCCAAGATTCCTCGTCTCCTAGAGACACCTCATTTTGCCAAGGAGCAAAAATTCGAGTTGTCTGCATATTTTGAAAGGATTCTGAATCATAAATTCGACTTCAAGTAACATGAAAATCCACATAAATTTGTTTAATTCTGTTGAATTACATGTCATGTAATCCAAAGTTATACCACTCTTAATGTCGTATGATAGTGCTAAAACTTTAGCAGGAGAACTTTCTAGATGTTTTCCATATTTGAAAATAGCTTTACGAGTTCAATGCACTGAAAATCCACATAAATTTGTTTAATTCTGTTGAATTACATGTCATGTAATCCAAAGTTATACCACTCTTAATGTCGTATGATAGTGCTAAAACTTTAGCAGGAGAACTTTCTAGATGTTTTCCATATTTGAAAATAGCTTTACGAGTTCAATGCACTTAATATAGGAAACCTGAATGATACAGCATATAAATTCTATATAAAAAAGGGCAGAATCAGAGCCAAAATCATCTAACTGCATCATTTTAAGACAGCAAAAATTTCATTAGGGTTTACTATAATATGAACAACATATCACCTGGTCATGACTGACTGACAACAAGTATTGACCAGATCTTCCCCATGCAATATCTGTTATTGCTGCAAAATGCCCAGATGGAACTTTTTGTGGTTGCCAATTTTCAAAATCAGTACCGACATTTTTCCAGAGATGGAAAGATCCACCATATCCATGTGCTAAAATTGAATCTCCATTAGGGCTCCAGTGGCCACCATAAAACCCCAGAGCACAATGACTTAACTCTCCGACAGTAACAACATTCATCCAGATGCCAGAAGTCTTTTCTGGTTTCCAAATCATCATTGTTTTGTCCATAGATGCAGATAAGATGCTCTGGGGTTGACAGTAGGCAATCCCTTCTGAAGATGCAGTTGATGGGGGTTGCCACTCCACTGAATACACCCAGTCCTCATGTCCAATTAGAAGAGATTCCAATGATATCTGATATGAGTTTGTCCCAGCTACAAGTACAGGGCCTTCTATATAAGATGCTAAGCTTATTTTTTCTTTCCGGTAAGCACTCTGGTTGCTGTCCAAAGAATCCCTCAAATCCATCTTCCATATGCGTATGCCTCTGTCTTGAGAAGAACTCACAAGTAGGACGTTATTTGCCTCACCAGTGGTGCATACGGGTAATGAGAAATCTAGACTTCTGATCCAATCTGTATGCCCTCTCAACTCGCAACCTCGAACAAACTTGATGTACAAATGAAAAAATTTAAAATCTTTTAAGGCACCACAAGTCTGAAATAAATCAGAAAGTAAGATTGATAATTGTGAATCAGAATACCTTTCCTCTCCTCTCCCCGCAGTAAAGGTGAATCTTGTTATCCAGTCCTCCCATTGCCAGGACTAAATAGCCAGCACTTCTGGGCAACTCAGATAATGAAAGCGCTACCATAGGTTTTACACCAACACAGAGAGAATCCAGATGCAACAAATTACAGTCACCTAAAACAACACAGCAAAGTCATATCTTGCATGCAATTTGCAAGTTCTTTCATTGTGATAGCATTTTCAGTTGTACCACTTAATACAAAGACATGATATTTTCTTGCTTGAGAGCAGTCAAAGCTTTCAACAAATGGTTGTGTCAATGCATGATGCGAACCTATGTATCTAAATAAGAGAGTGGAGGAAAGATGTTTCCATTTCAATAAATTGTCTAGTACACCCTTTCTTCAACATTGTCAGAAATGGGCAGAGTGTAGAGAACGAAGATGCGAATTAATCCAGACATTAAATCTATAAAATGCATGAAAGGGAAACAACTTTGATTTAGTCCAGTGAACTTTGGGCTCACCTCCACTAGTAGATGGAAAAACAACCTCCCATAAATGAACTGTACTGTCGGAAGAAGTAGAGGCAAAGACTGCCTCCGTTTGAGAAACCATAATTCCAGTAATACATGTGACACCCTTCTTGTGCAACTGCGGTACTTGTTGTACGTACCTCCACTGTAAACAAATGCAAAGACAGTAAATGAAGACAACGAATTTCAATAGTAAACCAGTCTTTCAAGTATATAAGAGACAACTAACTGACTAAGGAGTACAACACTTACTTAAAAACTGTAACTAAATAACAAATCCTCCAACTAGCTAGGAACTAAACGAGAGGAAATGCCAAGAAGCCAAGAAATAAAAAAATTTCACACAGTTCAGCTAACTATTAGCTACGTTCCACAATTCAATGTAAGTAAAATTTAAGAAAACACCAAAAGTTAACAATAAGAACTGCAATAACATGAACACCATCAGCAACAAGATTTTACCTTTCCTTCAAGAACAGAATACTCCCATAAAATAATGGCACCAGCGACATCTCCAGATAGCAAATAATGCCGGTCCAAGTGTTTAGCTGTGCACAGCCGACAAAGGTACTCAGAAACCCAATAACAACTTGAAAAGTAAACTTGAATCCAACACACACTAAAATCAAATTTTAATTCTTTGAAAAGGTACCTTTAAATGCAAACTTGTTACTTGGGAGCCACTGGGTACAATTCACAGCAGCCTTGTGTCCCGGAAGCGTAGTCGAAATTTGAGCAGTCTGCACCCATTTTTTAATTATTTAAAAAAGACAAGAAGGAATTAGTTTTTGAATGGAAAAGTGGGTTCAGAAAGCATAGAGAAGGGAAGGCATGAGAGAGAGAAGCAGCGAACCTTGGGGTTGAAAATAGCGACGGCGTTTTGGGCACCAAAAGCGACTAAATCACAAGCACCCCATGAAACGTTGTTCACTATTCTGTTGCACCCTGCTCCTATGAACACCCCTTTCACTCCGACCCCACTCCCACCACCATATCCACTAGTCATGGTGAAACTTGGCACTACTTCAGTAGAGAGATGGCGGCATCAGGCGTTGGAAGCTCGTTTAGCCTTTTGCTGGTTCTGTTCTGTAAAGAGAGAGAAAGGAATAAAGAGTATTTGGGCCGTCGTTAGACAAATGGGCTGAGGCCCAATAGCTTAGACTTGCTTTTTGGGCCTTAAAACCATATTAGTACTTGCGAAACGACACCGTACTGATTGTCCATTCATCACAGTAGAGGATGGGATCAGTTGAACGTGTCCTCATCCAATCCACCTGCCCCAAGTTTGAATCTAAATTCTCTTTTCCAATAAAAAACAATAAAAAAATAGAATCTAAAATGGTCGGCAGTGGTCCCTCCCTGGTTCGGTTTGGTTTGGTTTTCATGAAGTCAAACAACATTTATATTTCAGAAAAAGTTTTATATTTCAGGCCGAAAGACGAATCATCTGAATTCATCACCACAACCACCGTCTCAACCGCCAAAACAAATGTTGGAATTATAAAATCGACAAAACCCAAGGCAAAAACATCAGATGGCGACGATTCAGTACGATATTCGTTGGGCGCGTCTTCTTCACACAGCAGCAGCATCTTCATCATCGTCAGCGACGACGTCGTCGCCTTCATTATCTACAATTCGGTCTCTCACTCCCCACCTCATGGCCTCGCGGGCCTCTGCGGCGCGCCGGGTTCTGTCGCTGTCGACCTCGTGCTGGACGACGTCGTTCAGGCTCAGAGCCTTCTCCACCGGTGCGGGAGAGGCCGAGGTGAAGCTTCCGGAGAAGCCGTCGATTTGTACAGCCGATGAGCTCCACTACGTGTCCGTACCAAACTCCGATTGGAAGCTCGCCCTCTGGCGCTACCACCCTTGCCCCAAGGTACTAGATTTACTTAAAAAAGAAAAAAGAAAAAAGAGCTCATTTCTTTGTGAAAAGAGTGTATTTTGATTTTTAGGAGTTGAGTTATGCAAGGATTAGATACTGAGTAGTGAATATTACTGAAACAGGCGCCTCAGAGGAATCACCCATTGTTGCTGTTGTCGGGGGTGGGGACCAATGCCATTGGATATGATCTCTCTCCTGAGGTAACATTTGCACGATTTAATTATTATTAAATGCCTCAATTGTTCTTTTATTTACTAAATCAATTTCATTTTTCTTGTTACGGCATAGCTCAGTACTTTTATGCGATTCTTCTTGTTATACTGTTGTTAGTTTATAGCAGATTATTCAGAAAAATTGTAAATTCTAATCACTGGTCTGGCATATTCTTTCAGTTGGACAAATCTCATATTTACTTCCACAACCATCCTTGACCCTCTTTTGATCTTTTTATTTTTCTCTAAAGACTAAAGTTATCAATGTCATTGTATATGTGTTATGGGTTTGGTTCCTTTGTGTTTGCTGATGAATGTGGCATATTTGCAGTCTTCTTTTGCACGTTACATGTCAAAGCAAGGATTTGAGACATGGATTCTCGAAGTTCGTGGTGCTGGATTGAGCGTGCACGAACCAAATCGCAAGGAAATCCAGCAGTCTGCCCGTGCAAGATCTGATCAGATGGAAGCTGCTTCTGCGGGTGCAACTAATGCAGCTTTTTCTGCAGAAAAGCAATCAAATGGTTTTCCTGGTGCTTCAGCACCTCAGTCTCCTGTCCAAGGAGAAAGATATGATATTTCAGCTACCAAGGGAGACATTACAAAAAGCCAATCAAATGGTTTTCCTGGTGCCTCAGCACCTGAGACTCCTGCCCAAGAAGAAAAATATGACATTGCAGCAGGCGAAGGAGACGTTACAAATATAATTACTGTAGGCAACGAATCAAAATCAGTGACTAGGTTGACAGAAACATTTACGCAGTTGTCAGAAAGATTCTCTGGCTTTCTCAGTGAAGGTCAGTCGAAAATCATGGCTGCTAAGTTACTTGACCAAGTTTCAAAACTTTTTGCTGATTCTACATTATCTGAGCGTCTTAATGAGATAAGCGATAAGCTTTCAGGCCTCTTAGAGACAAGACAAGACTCATCTATTGCTAGCCAGATCAGGGACCTCAGTCAAAGGCTTGTAACTATCATTGAAGAAGGTCAGCGATCAGTTTCACCCCCATTGTTTGACTTGCAAGAGCGTTTTGCTTCCACACTGGAAGATTTTCAGAAACAACTTGACTTGATAGTGAAGTATGATTGGGACTTTGATCATTACTTGGAAGAGGATGTACCTGCTGTGGTGAGGTGACAATTTATCTTGCTGGAAGGCTATCACATGTTTGCCCATTTTGATTTTAGTCTTTAGAAGGAACATCCAGTTTGATTACGGATAGTACCCTTTCTTTTATATGGAATCAAATAATTTTTTCTACCGTTTACAAGATGAATTTATAGTCTTCAATGTTAACCGTACAGATGGAGTACATAATGGCAGAAAGTAAGCCAAAGGATGGGAAGTTGTTAGCCATTGGACACTCAATGGGAGGTATCTTGCTTTACGCAATGCTTTCACGATGCGGTGAGATTCCATTCCTTCCCATGCATATAATATTCTTTTCTTTATTATCCTTTGGGGTGGATTGCACTGCTCTAACATATTATGTTAGACTATAATTAAGATTGGTTGCCTTTTGGGGTGGTGTGCACTGCTCTAACGTATTATGTTAGACTATAAATAAGATTGGTTGCCTTTTGGGGTGGTGGAGTTTCTTTGCGTCTTAATTCGTATTAAGAGCACTGTTTAAGAGCAATGGTTTTAGTTGTCCAACAATAAGATTTGTGCAGACCCTTGTGTTGTTTGTAAGTATCTCCTTTGTTGTTGATGACCTTCTCTTATCTAAAATTAGAAATTGTGATTGTTTTTTAAGAACTTGATTAAATTCTGGTCTTATGTAGCATTGATTGAATGTTTTCCAGTTTTGGTTCCTAGTTATGTTTTGGTGCCTATTTTCATTTTGCAAGCCTTTGTAAGAAATGCTTGAGCATATGAATCTGATACCTTCATTTATTTCATCTTATAAGTTTCTGAAGGAAGAGAGTCCAAATTAGCAGCTGTTGTTACATTGGCATCATCGCTTGATTACACACCTTCAAAATCAACTCTCAAATTGCTCATACCCCTTGTAAGTGGATTCAGAGATAGTTGTGGTAGATCGTCTTTAAATTAATTTCAATGACCATCTGATTAAGTGTAGCTTAAACAGTGCTAAGAAACTAATGTTAAGGAACTTGTCATACAGGCAGATCCTGCTCAGGTTCTCAATGTCCCAGTTATTCCTTTAGGAACATTATTGGCAGCTGCTTATCCTCTCTCAACCCGTCCTCCTTATGTTTTCTCGTGGCTCAATAATCTGATTTCAGCAGAGGACATGATGCATCCAGAGTTGTTGAAAAAGCTTGTTCTGAATAACTTTTGTAAGATTCCTACTGACATGATATACTTTGTTAATTTCATCCTAAGATTTGCAATATCATAAGAATCAAGGCTAGTTATTCAAAAAATTATTGCTAGAGTCACTTCATGGCTGCCTTCTACTGATTAATCCACAAGTCAACCATTGATTCTATACTTGTTGAACCTTCAAAAAGTATTGCAGATGGTTCTGTGGGCTCAATAACAGAGGAATACCTAAGGTTATCTGCTCTTGTGCATGATCAGTTGAACCATGTATCTTTACCTTAAGATGGGAAAAATGTCCCTAGGATACCAAGGGCCTAAGCCAGTGGTATTAATTGGAAAGCTTAAATATATTATTTGAACCTTATATAGTTTTCTTGTTTGTTGGCTGAATAACTTTATATTATTAATTAGTAATAAACATAAGATAAAATTACAACTGGCAGGCACCATACCCGCAAAACTTCTGTTGCAGCTAACAACAGCCTTTAGGGAGGGTGGACTACGTGACAGGAGAGGTACCTATTTGTATAAGGATCATCTGCACAAAAGCAGTGTCCCTATTTTGGCACTTGCTGGAGACCAGGATCTAATATGCCCGCCTGAAGCTGTAGAGGGTAAAATCATATTAGAGATGTCTTATGTTTTTAACTTTTTTTTTGGGGGGTGGTGTGATTCATGCTTATGATACTTTGATGGACCAGAAACTGTTAAGCTGATTCCACGACACCTGGTTACGCATAAAGTTTTTGGAGAATCTGGAGGTCCACACTATGCTCATTATGATTTGGTGGGAGGCCGAATGGTATGGAATATTCTTCTTTCTCTTATGGTGCAATAGAATGATGTGCTCTAGTGATTATTTGTTTGCATAGCCACTTGTTTATAGTTATACATTTTTGAAGTGCAGGCAGCGGAGCAGATCTATCCCTGTATAATCGAATTTCTTAGTCGGCATGACTCGACATGATTACCAAATCCATGAAACTTAATCGCTTCAATTCATCACTGGAGTAAGCTTGATTTCACAACAGGCTTGGAAAGCCTTTAATATTTGTGCACGTCCTGATCATGTTCTTTACTTTAGGATGATGGGGCCAGAGAAGCATTCCATGCGGGAAGAACACTACAAATTCCCAAACATAAGTTGATACACAGGAAGAGACCTTTTTTTCTTTGTTTTTTGGTTTGAGGACACAGACGTAAAACACAGTTGATCACCACTTGTGCATTGAACTTTTTTTATTTGTTGGTCAACCTTGTGCATCAGAAAGGGTCATTGTTTGTTTGCTGAAGTTAGAGTCGTTCTTAAGTTTGTTTATGAGCAAAAGGGAACGCAAGTATTTGATGTTACTGGCTTCATTTTCTGGGTATTTTCAGCATTGTATCAGCTGCTTGTGATATTGTATCGAATACCAACCCCAGTTATGGATTCGAACTCCATGCGTCTGTATTTTAATATGTCTTGCCTTCTTTTTGCTTTGGGTGAAATTAATCTCTTGATTTTAATTACCTAAGTTCTGGTGTTCCTGAGTAATGAAACTTTTCTTGACCAAAAAGTTCTGGTGTTCATTTTCGGCACCCATCGATGATCGATGAATTAGGCAAGTGGTAATTGGGCCTGCTCAAGTTTAGCTAGCCATGGTCATTGAAAAATGTGATCATCTTAGTCCAGAAAGCCCATATTCCCATTTCGTTAAAAGGGTTTTATGCTCCGGTTTCAATCCAATCGCTCAGCGCCTACTTCATTGGTTTCGTGTTTTCATGTCCTGTATTTTAAAGGGGCATGCTGGAATGGGATGTAGGGTCCTGACCAGTCTCGTTGTTCCCTTCAAGAGTAGCAATCTGAAATTCAATAGAAACCAGCCAACAAAATGAACCACAGGTTACGGAATTAAAAATGAGACTTTGTCGTTTAAGAATTGTATTTTGCTGAATTCAGAGAACAAGTAATGTGAACTCAGTGAAATGTTTATGTGGTAATTTGGAGAGGTCCACGTGACGCAAAATGTAGCAACAAGATACTTTTGATATACTATGGTGTTGAAATGAACACGTATATATATATGCATGAACTGATCAATCCACGTTATCCTGCACTTAATCGGTCTCCTGCGTCAGATTGCGGTTGGATTCCGACGTGAAATGTGGAACCCTTAAATTTGTAAGAAGCTTGGGTTGCAGAATCTAACCAACTGCTGTCAGAGAATCACATTGACCATCCCTTGTCCTTGTGGAGTGTTTCGTTCCTAACTTCTTGTACTTTTATGTTTTGTAGCAGGCTAGCAGCAGCAGCAGAAGAAGATAAGTACACTGAATGATTGAGAATGGAAGCAGACTTTCTCTGTCTTCCATGTTAAATGCCTTTGGTCCACTTATTCTTGCTTGCCACATTAATTGTCAGCAATGCTTGCTGCTTGCCAGTATAAATAAGTATATCTGTACTAGCCAATGTTGTATGTGGTGGGAGGATATTCATATATTCTTAATCTTAATGGATCCCAATGCATCAAGGTTTCTCTTCAATCCCTCAACCCTGCAGTCAGTTTACTATGAAGCCAAAGAGAATGATGGCATAATTGATCTTGGTCTCAGCCTGAGAGCTCTGCAGCCTGAAACTTACCATCCATCTGAGCACTGTAAATTCCTTCTTTCCTTTGTTTTTTTTAATGGTTATGTTCTGCTTTGTGACATGTGCTAATTGCATGTTTATGTGTAGTGGTAAGCTTGGAGGGATATGATGATTTGATAGATTGGCCACAGGCTAACCTGAATTTGAAGAATTCTAGCATTATACATCCAAGAAACAACCCAGAAGATTGTGATGAAGAGGCAGAGGGAGTTCAAAGCAAGGAGAGGTGGGCTTATGTGAAAGTGAACATGGATGGGATTATCATTGGCAGAAAAGTTTGTATACGTGATCATAGTGGTTACTCAAGTCTTGCATTTCAACTAGAAGACATGTTTGGTAGGTGTACAAATAATCTCAAAAGAGTGAGGATTTTACACTCAGAAACTAACAAGTGGTTCATTTGTTTCAGGTAGACAATCCGTATCCGGGTTAAGGTTATTCCAGACTGGTTCTGAATTTTCACTTTTCTACAAGGACAGAGATGACAACTGGAGAACTGTTGGGGATGTTCCATGGAGGTATGTTCTTTTAGATCTGGCATTTATGGCAAAGCATGGTATTGAACCAAGTTATTCATTGAAGCTTTTCGTTTAAAATGTGACAGGGAATTTGCAGAATGCGTGAAGCGGCTAAGGATTGCAAGAAAGAACGAAGCTCTTCTTTCCTCTTCTTTGAAATTTGACTAATTTATCCTTCCCCATTTTGCATTTTCATTCACATGTGTTTAGAGAGCATCTCTGACTTGGAGGCAGTTCGATTACATTTGGAAAGTGTGTTCATCTATTTAATCTGAGAGATTAATTTAATGTTAGTTAATTAATAATTAGATTAAGGTCCTAAATCCTAAAACAGAACCAGCAGTGGCATGTTTTGTACGCACAGAAAACCCTTCTGCATTGCATCCATAAAGATGCCATATCTGCAAATGCCACGATGCTTTAAATAGTAAGAAAGGCATCAAGCTGAAACAATGTTGAATAACACTGTTCTTCTTCTTATCTATCACTCATGGGCAGACACGTGGACACGAAACATTCTCGCGCACGTGAGTCTGTGAAAATCACTACTCAAAGCTAGGTAAATAAATAGCATGCAGAGTTGGACATAATAGACCAAATACATTCCGACAAAAAGAAGCTCTGTTGAAGTCAATAAAATGGGCAGATTAATTACCAATTATACTCAGAGGACAGCTAGAATCTTCTTGCAGATTTGACTAAATGGTTTGGTGGAGTCCACTATCCCTATATTCGCGCCATTGCTTGGTAGCAGCTAGAAACTCAACTATCCTAATCCTACAATTTGATAGACATAGACAGTAAAAACTTAAAATAAGATTAAGAACAAAGATGATGCTTAAGAGATAAGATAATGGTGTGAGGATGTGTATAGACCAACAAAGAAATCATCAACTTCATTAACCTACAAGAACAACACAAGATACAAAAGGTCTGCAATAAGAGCATGAAGACATCCTTCACAAAATATATACTAATCAAGGGCCAACAGATGCACAATCCAGTTAACAATGCTCTTGCAGCAGACCTACCTCCACCTACCTCTATCAAATGACAGTAGAAAAACAAGAGAATCTTACTGTCATAAAACCTACGCCAAATACACAGATACACCAATCATAACCGGGTCATCTATTCACTAAGATTGAACTAACCCAAACATCAAGCTTCACAAGTGGATTGAACTCAACACTATCAGGAGGATATCATCTCAAACAGAAGACGTAGCCAATCTGTCCAAAGCATCAGAAATGTGCCTCATTATTGGTCTCCTTTCGGGGCTGCTATGAACGCAAGCCATTGCAATCTTCAAAACTGCAATAATCTCTTCTTCTTTATCCACGTCTTGCATCAAATTTGGATCTAAAACATCTAAAAGAGGCTTCTTCTCGTCAATGCAGAGCTGAATCCAATGAACTAGGTCCATTTCTGAGGAACCCACCTGGACTATTGGCAATCTGCCAGTAATCATTTCAAGTAAGATAACCCCATAAGAATAGACATCCCACTTCTGTGATGGTTTCACCACTTTCAGAGCTTCTGGAGCCTGATAACAAGATCCCAAGTTACCGGACGGACTAATTACAGTAGCTTCAGTTGGTGCACTCTTTTGTTGCCTTTCTTGTGATTTTTCTGTGGCCATTCGATTGGATTGAAGCGTCGGGGACCCTCCGGCTATATTTGCAAGGCGTCCAAGTCCAAAATCAGAAATGTGGGGCTCCATATCCTGTCCAAGCAGTATGTTATTCGGCTTCAAATCTCCGTGGACGTATTTTTTAGGGCTAAACTCGTGCAGATAGACCAAGCCTTTTGCAATTCCTTTCATGATTTTCAACCGAATAGACCACGATAGTGGTGTAAATGATATCATTCCCGGCTTCCCTGATGACACACCAAAACAATCAAACCAACAAAATCACCACAAATACAATCGTATTCCCAAATCTGAGATAAACACAACTACCATTAACAAGGAGAAAAAAAACCCGAGCTAAATATAAATACAATTAAGAAGAGTACAAATAGCAAAATTAGGCAAGAAGAGATGGTGAGCTTACCATGAATGGCAGTGGCAAGGCTGCCATTAGGTATATAGTCGTATATGAGCAGCTTTTCATCAACGGACCAGTAATAAGCCCTCAGAGTAACCACATTAGGATGCCTTAGCTTTCCAATTGCTTCTACTTCTGTCTGAAATTCCTTGAATCTCTGGGAGCCCCCTTCACCCAATCGTCTCACTGCTAGGGTAAGTCCTTCTTCAAGCACAACTTTGTAAACAATTCCAATTCCACTTTTTCCAAGAACAAATGCAGATGCTTTTAGAAGCTCATCCAGATCAAACGCCACTTGTGCGTCCAATGCCACTAGATCATACTGCTCCATATTTTCTGATAAAGTTTCCGATTCATCTTTCCTGAAGCACAAGCACTCCTTCCTTCCCTTACCACCCTTGTCAATTCCATACCCATTTTCATCCTTGACCTTACTAAAAGCCCAAATCCTGGAATAACAATATGAGAAAAGCAGCCCAACAAGGCAAATACCAATTATATCACTCACTATTATTGCAATCACAGCTCTCTTACTTAACCCTCTTGATTTCCCACTCTTTCCAGCATTATCATCAGAATCCTGAGGGGGGATGTTATCTGGCAGAAATGGAATTGAGGATGGCGGACTTGCACCTGGAGTTTCTGAAGAACACGGGTTCTTCAATGGGGGGCCGCAAAGACGAGGATTCCCAATGAAGGCAGTTGGTCCTCTGTTCATTAGAGCTCCATTTTGGGGTATCGGACCACTTAAATTGTTATAAGTGAGATCAATGTAAACCTTCTCAGGAAGGTTTCCAAGGCTAGCTGGGATTGCACCGGAGAATAGATTATGAGACAAATCAACAGTGCCTTGCAAGCTAGACAAATTTCCCATATCACTAGGAATTGAACCACTGAATTTATTGAAAGAAAGATCAAGTTTTTCCAGAGAAACAAAACCAGTTCCAAACCCATCTGGTAGAAACCCAGTGAAATTATTCTGACTAAGATCGATGGTCTTCAGTCTCTTGCATTGTACAATTGAGGAGGGCACTGACCCATTGAATAAATTTTGTGATAAATCTAAGGATTGAAGGTACTTGAGCTTACCAATAACATTTGGTACAGACCCAGATAAGGAATTCCCATAAAGGACCAAACTTTGGAGCCCCAGGGCTTCAAAGAGCTCAAGGGGCAAGCTTCCATATAACTTATTGTTTCTTAAATTTACATGGCGGAGCTCAGAGAGAGACCCCATGGCAGAAGGAAGAAACCCATAAAGTTTCTTCTTCGGAATGCTAAGAGACACAACTCTTTGTTCCTTGCATGTAATCCCATTCCATGTACAGGGGTTTTCATCAGAAGAGTTCCAGTTACTCAGAGACCCTTCTGGGTCTTCCGTCATGGACTGCTTGAACGACAAAAGCGCAAAGCCTTCATCATTCAAAGAACCCACCAGGACATGAGAGTTGCAGAGCAGCAGAAGCACCAAAACCAAATAAAACATTTCCAGCAGAAAATTTTGACCGTTGGAACAAATCTAAATAACAAAGTTTGGAGTTCAAAGGGATTACCTTTCAGAACCAGAAGCCCAAGTGAAGGTTGTGGAGAAAGGTGAGAGAGACAATGGAGGTGAAGAGGGAAGGGAAGTGTGAAAGCTTTGACAGTGATGGAGAAGAGAAAGCGTAGTATAGAACGCTAAAGGCTCAGCAAGCAAGACCTTGGGAAGGTAGAAAATTAGAGCAAATGGCTTAAAGAGAAGGACGGTGTGGGAATCCATATGGTAATGATACTGTCAAATCTCTGCAATACAATTTATCGCGAGATTTTCGTTCATGGGCACATTTCCATTTGGTTGGTAAATAAATAAGAAATATCAGGAAAAAAAAAGAAAAAAAAAAGTGAAAAACTTCGGATTTGTAATTTGTACAGCATGAAAAAATGTTCTCGTCAACAGAAGAACAGAACAGAACAGAACACACATGTGACCACAACATATTTGCGCGAATGAAATAAAAAGAGAGAAAGGCAGGGCAGGCAGGCAGCCAGTGCATTAGACAGTCATGATTGTTCCACACAAGTTTATAAGCCGTTGAGGGAACATAAGATGATTATGGCCACTACCTGCTCTGCTCCGACGAAGACCGTATTATATTATTCATTGGAAAGGCCAATTAATCCAAATTTCTATAATTAGTATAATAAACTGATAGCTTCCCAATATTTAATTTAAACACTAAACACAATGGACAAAGGTTTTGCTGACACGGCATTGAAATAGAAAAGAAGAGCAGAGTTGACAGTTGTAAATGTCGTGATATAGAGTGAGTAAAGATGGCGAGAAATTGACATGTGAATTACAGAGTCTAGAGAGTAGCCGTTTGTCAGTGGTGAACCCCACTCTATAACCTTTATAACACTGTATTTTGGGGGGGGGTGTGGGAGTGGTTGTGGGGTGGCCCCTGAAGTGTAAACTAAAGCTTAAAGTTTAGGACATGGCATCCTTTACTTTAACTGGTCTCCGCTCTGGTTCAAAGGTTCATACTGTACAAGGACCAAGTTGTTCCCTTTTTCCTTTTATGTACTTTTTAAATCAGTTTTAAACTAATTTGAAAAGCAATGTAGCTTACGTTGGCTGCATTTGAGTTGGTAAGTTGTGTTCTGGAGACGAGACAAACAACGTTGTGTAAACATGAATTGGTTTACTTTACACACAGCACAGACACAGTAAACGATGGATGGATTTTAAAGTTAATCAACCAGAAGTGATCGCTGATGGTCTTCCTTCCTCAATGCTCATATGCTAATTAATAATATAACATATGGACAATTTGTGTAGGGCTGGCTGGTGGGTGTTGTCTTGTCACCATCACAGATTCACAAGGATGAATAATCTGATTCCTTGCTTGCAGTGCAACTCAACAGTATCCTATTTCTACCCAGTACATTATTTATACCGTTACTCTGTTAATTAGATTCATAATCAGGAAATAAGGACGCATAATTAGGCAACCATTATTGATTAAGTTGGAGAGTCTAGAATTTTTGGCTCCGTGCTGCTCGCGCCTCAAAGGGTTGGCGAGGACAAGGCCCGCTAGGCTCCTCCAGCTCTAGGCCACCACACCACCAAAGTTTTATACAAAAAGAGAGAGAGAGAGAGAGAGAGAGAGAAGCTTTACAGCACAAAGTTGCTTTCATTAAAGCTACCTTTTCTCTCAAATTTTCAGCAGCCAAAAAGCAATCAGCTTTCTTCTCTGCTTATAGTGAGTGATTTTCTTTCTAGTTTCTAGTTCGTTACTTGACTAATTTTTGCAAGCTTCCAAGCAATGCATTTGGTTACACTTTGAACCAAACCAAAGCAGTGTTCTTTTAGTTCTATTTCTTTAATTAGCTGAATTATAGGCGGCTAAAATCCTCGTCAAAGTTACGACAATCCATTTTATTGATTGCTTACACGAAAATACCTCCGTCTATCTCGGATGAAATCTCCCATGTCATATCAATTTGTTCAACGACAGACCCTGCATAGTCGTGCACTGACAACTGACAACTGACAAACGGACAACAATGAAGAATAACTATTTAAACGACTTGGCTGTATTGGCCTTTGTTGGGCTTGAGCTTTATTATTGGAATGGAATGGGCCTAGAGCCCATTATGACTGTTTGGGCCTTGGGCAATTTGAAGAGCTGAATGGTTGCGTAAAAGTTAAAAAACTCGTTAAATAAATAAGAAGCTGACGACACCGTTTAACAGGCTCTCTCTCTTCCAGCGCGGACTAGCAGACAGAAGAAAGGACTGAAAAATAGAAAGAAGGAAATGGATGATGCTGAAGGAAGAAGAGAAGAAAAGAAAATGAGGGAAGGTATGATAATCAGTACGGGACTAAAAACAGTGGTGGAAGCCATTCACGCAAGCCCCACGCAGTCCGTCCTCTATCTCTCTGGCGGAGCCTCTCAGGTATCTCTCTCTCTCTCTCTCTCTCTCTCTCCTCATATATACACACATATTAAGATTAATTAATTAATTCTGATTAAGAATTCATGAAGATTAATTAATTAAAACTAGTAATATAAATCAGGCTGTTGCGTGGCTGCTATCCGTTCCTGGAGCCTCAAGCACAGTCCTCGAAGCCGTGGTGCCCTACTCCAGAATGTCTATGATCCAGTTACTCGGGAAGGTTCGTCCTCTCCTTTTGTTTAATTCTTCTGTTTCTCGCTCCAATTTTTGTTTAATTTAACAAAAAAGTTCTGTTTTTTTTCTTTCAAAAATTATAAATTTGGTTGCTTTGTTGGTGCAGATTCCGAACCAGTTTTGTAGCTCACATACTGCTGAAGAAATGGCTTTGTTGGCCTACAATCGCGCTCTCAAGCTCTCCTCACCAGGTTATGCATTAGATATACTCTTATACTTGCATACTGAATTGGGGTTCAGAAGAATTTATTAGGACCTAACACTGTGATATGAATTTTGTATGCTTAATTGTGTAGCTACCTTTGCATCATGTGGGGAACTTCTACTTTCTGTACACCCTAGTGCCAAACACAGTCTTACTAGGTGTCATCTGTAGCCACACACACTGACGAACGCACACTTTATGTTTATAGGTATATGTGAATGCAACATGTGAACTGATGTGTCATTTTTATTCTATGCAATAGGTTCTCCGGTTGTTGGTGTGGGTTTTACTGGTACTTTGGCTACTTCACGTCCAAAACTCGGGGAGCACAGGTATAATTTCAATATATATATATATACAGTTTTCTTTTATGTAGCTGGAAAGTTCAGGGACAATGCAACATTGATATGTAGTTGTGCTCTTAGGCCCTTAGCCAATCTTTTTAATTTTCTTTATCTTTACTAGTGTACCCGATCGTCAAAGTGACAGAAATTCATTAGTTATTGTTTCATAAAGCAACTCAGCATTGGTTTTTACTGCGTAAGTTATTAGGATTATTGTCAGGGTCCTTTTGCTGAGGCAGGCATGAATAAAGGCACCAAGTAATCAGGGTAGAAACAAAAATGGGAACATTTATTACTTGCTTGACATAATCAAAGGATCCTGCTAAGAAGCTGCATTTTGCAACATGACATCTGCAATTGGTTGGTGTCATTGTATCATTGTATCATTGTATTTTGTTTTGTCGTTTTACTCCAAGATATTCTACGCACATAACACCTCCATAAGGGCTTGTTTTGTTGATGTCGCTTTTACTTCATGCTTGGTCAACCTGGGCCTGTTTAGCTTCATGCTTTTTTCTTGATGTATAGGCTTCACTTGTCAACAAGGACATCTGACAGACTCTGGGTATCAACGGTGACCCTTTCTAAGGTGATTGTCATTTATTTTGGTCTTGACTAAGATTTTCAAGTTTTTCATTTTCTTATAACATGCTTCTTCTCATTCTAGGGTTTACGAAATCGAGAGGAAGAAGATATGGTTGCAAGTCATCTTTTACTCAAGGTCTGAGAAGATTTCTACTAATTACACTGGAGACCTTATATATAGGAAGTGAATATTTAGCAGCATAATGCCATCCCTTTATTAGTTTCATATTTTTGCTAAATGTGGTTTGCTTAAACTCATATTTTAAATTTGTTTCTTATGCAGCCTTTCTATCAATTTGGTTACAGGCAATTGCAAATGCATGTAAAGTTCCCGGGACATTTGTTTCAGAGCTCACTGACTCCGAAGTACCTGATGAATGTGAAAAGCAGTTCAGTGAAGATGAAGAGTTGGAGCAACTAATAAATGGGCAAATATGCTTTAAGGTTTATCCGTTTTTGAGTGGTATGCTTTAACCTTTACTAGCACAATTATGCACTGTACTCATACGTGTGTCAGTGTGGTCCTGTGCTTGTGCATAATGCTTTATTTTTCATCAACTGTTTTGCAGAGCCACACATGTCAACTGCAGAAAGGAAGATAATACTGTCTGGTTCTTTTAATCCATTACATGAAGGTCACATGAAGCTCATGGAGGTTGCTACTAGGTACAACAGCTTGCTTTAACTGCAACTTTTGATTCCATTTCTTTTTCTAAAATTTCCATCAATGTTTTGTTTTTCTGGGTTTCTTTGGGAAACTGCAACTGAGTTGCAGCAGGGCCAGATGAAGGATTGTTGATCTCTCTCTCTTTCTCATCACACACACATACAATTTATTTTGACATTGTCGATGATGACAAGACTCTTTCTGAGGAGATTCATTTCTTCTATTATATTTGCTTTGTTTCTTCTGGATCTTATGCACATGCACAAACGTATGTATCATATCACTTGTGTATAGTGCTGCTCATCCATCACTCATTTCTATGCAGCTTGTGTGGCAATAGCTCCCCATGCTTTGAAATATCAGCAGTCAATGCTGACAAACCTCCACTTTCAACATCACAAATCAAAGATCGTGTCAAGCAGTTTGAAAGAGTTGGTGAGGCTGATTATCTGTTTCAATTCTTTTTCCTGTTCCATTTCCTGCTTGTGTAGGGATACTGAGTCATGATACGGGATGAACGCGTGAAATTTTCTGAGGCAAAACAGTAATTATATCCAATCATTTTTCTTTTTAATGGCAGGAAAAACAGTAATTATATCCAATCATTTTTCTTTTTAATGACAGGAAAAACAGTAATTATATCCAATCAGCCATACTTTTATAAGAAAGCTGAACTTTTCCCAGGCAGTGCTTTTGTGATTGGTGCTGACACAGCAGCAAGGCTGATTAATGTATGTTATTTAACGAATTATAATTGTATAATACATGGTTTTCTTGTGACATTTGTATCTGTATATGCATGCTGATTTGATTACATATGGAAGGATTTAATCACTACCTTAACAGAATCAAATCTGTCTAATAGGTGGTTTAATAGAATATTGAAATATTACTTCTTTCGATTTATGATTTTTGAGATATTTAGTGATCTTTGAATTGTGAATGGAATCATTGAAGTTAATTTTTCCTCCTTTCCAGCCCAAATACTATGACGGGGACTACAAGAAGATGCTGGAGATACTTATTGGATGCAAGAAAACAGGGTCCACTTTTCTCGTGGGTGGTCGTAATGTGGATGGTGTTTTCAAGGTATGTTCACATATTAGAAGCTTGACAAACTTCCTTCTAATTTCCAACGACTCATTTTTATCCTTTATGGAAGTTGTTAATTCTTATTCATAAAACCTTGTCAGGTTCTTGAAGATTTTGATATTCCAGAGGAGTTAAGAGATATGTTCATCTCAATACCAGAAGAGAAGTTCCGCATGGATTTATCCTCCACTGAAATTAGGAAACGACTTGAGAAGTAAATGTCGCAGTAGCTTGGAGCAAAGCATTGGCTTCTGCCTGCCTCCTACATATGATTCTGAAAGAAAAGCAAAAGCATGGCTGCTGACTTGCCTGAGTGAATAAAAGGCGATACAAGAACTAGAGTATCCATCCATATGTAATGTTTATCTTAAACTTCAAAACCTGCACGCGTGTGAGTGTGTGTATAAGATATACATAACTTCAAAACCTGCACGCGTGTGAGTGTGTGTATAAGATGTACATTGGTGTTGGTGGAATATACATATATATTCATTATTGGAATATGGAGGTGGTCTCTTTTATTAGAAACCATTCGTTGACTTGATAATATTAAGATGAAATTTGTAGATGGGAACAAACACATATGGGTGGTAAAGAGGAAGAGGAAGAGACATCTAATCTTGATGTGACTTGCCCAACCAAACAAACGCTCATGGCAACATGTCAACCACTGAAATTTAAAAAAAAAAAAAAAAAACCCAGATAAGAAGGCCCTGATTGGAAAAATATATTCGTGATCATGATAAGCACACTCGTGTGTAACTGTAATAGAAAGCAACTTTTATCTTTGAAATAAGCAACAATTCAATTAATCAGAGCCGATAAAAAGGAAGAAATCAAGAGATGATAGCACTGATGCTGATGCTCTGTTTCTGATCAAGCACCGCAGCCTGCGCTGCAGCCTGCAGCTGCGCACGTAGCGCCGTGGGTATGAGTGTGGGTGGCGGAGGAGGAGGCTTTGTCTTTGGGAACACCATCTGCACAGGAGAAGATGATGGCTGAAATAACAGCAAAGGTGACGAAAGCTGCCCACAACAACAGCATCACAAAAGCTGCACTGCTGTTGCTGCTGCTTAAACTAATCTCCCCACTCCCACCACCTCCATCTCCATGCCCTCTTCTTGCCAACAACTCTTTCCAATCCCTTGCCATACGTAATATGATATGGCTATCTTATCTGCCTCCTCTGTCTGTCTGTCTGAGTCTGTGTGTGTGCGCAGAAATGGCTGATAAGGTTTTTCGAAAAAGGCTTTGAATTGATGATAAGCTGACTGACTGCTATAATATTATCGATAAGACTGTGTTTCTTTCTTTCCTAAGACGGCAAGAATCATTTATATCCGATGCCCTCGTATCATAATATCGTGGCCAATCACACACTTCACCGTGTTGGAGATGGAGAGGTGTAAATAAATATAGCATATATACTATATGGTATATATATGGTCAACCCAAATTGTGATATGAGATTTAAGTAGATTTATTATTCAAGGAAGCAACACATCATAAGCATACATAGTTTTTATTTATCATAAACTTAAGCATACATAGTTGTACAAATACAATGACTGACTGACTAAAGAAAAGCCGGCTTTCTTTACTAAAAATGAGAAAAATTGAGAAAGAAAGTCTGAGAGAGAGAGAGAGAGAGAGAGAGAGTGGTCTCGTTTCATAAAGCTGGCGATCCGCAATTGCGGCAATTACTTACGAAAGGTGGTGTTGACAATGGAGGTGAGGTCTACGATTCGGTTTTCCTATCATCTCATCTCATGTCATGCGTCATTTGGCTTTTCTATTATATATTTATGGCTTTTTATAACAAATGTTCCTGTGGTTTGCCAAATTATCATCTTTGGTCCTTTATTTTTTTATAACATAATTGTTCCCTTATGTTACACCTCATACATCAATTTGATCTTGTCGTCATGTTTCGTCAAATTTTCCGTTAGATTGCTAACGCGGATGCCACTTGGATTAAACAATGTCCTAAATATTTTGGGTTCTATCACAAATGGTCCCTGAGTTTTGCGAAATTATCACATTTGGTCCTTTATATTTTTTTTTTATGACAACAGAAATTTCAATAGAACATAACGAATTTGGCGTGACATGTATATGGAGGAGCCTATGTCCAATAATAACATGCCAAGTGAATTTGAATAAAAAACAAATTATCTTTTGAAAATTTTCTCTGTTTTTAAGTATATTTTTTTCTAAAAGATTTGAAATGTTAAATTATTTTAAAAAAATATATAGGACCAATAATTTTCAAAAAAAAAATAAAAGACCAAAGGTGATAATTTTGCAAATCTCATAGACCATTTGTGATATAACCCAAAATGTTTAAAACATTGTTTAATCCACGCAGCGTCCACGTCAACAATCTAATAGAAAATTTTGACTGAACTTGACAGCGGGACCAAATTGATGTATGAGGTGTAACATAAGGGACCAATAATGTCGGAAAAAAATACAAAGAACCTAAAGTGATAATTTAGCAAATCTCAAAACCATTTGTGATAAAAAACTGATATTTATTCATTCATTCATATACTCTCGTTTTGTCGGCATGACAAATCCATTCATGTATTTATTTATTTTCATATTTTAAATAAAAAGACCGACCTGATCCTGGCGTATATTTGCAATGCAATTGCAAATTTTTTTTGGTCTGCACAGATAAATTTATAAAGGCCCAAGGCAGGGACACAGGCCCAAAAGAAGCAAAGGGAACGTACATAGGCCAGAGTCATAGCCAAAGGGTGGGTGTTGCTATTTGTATCATATTTACTGACCACATCCCCGACAACGGCATCAAAAACTTAATGTGCGTTTAAACCAATCTAAATATTAGATAAATTTAAATCAAATTAAAACTTGCAAGTGCACGAATCGATTTATAGTATAGTGTGATGCAAGTGCGAGTGTCGTTTAGTGATCAATTATAGTTCTTTAACGTAACTTAATTCGAGACTCTTTTTGGATTTTCACTCAACTACTTAACACTAACTAAAAATAAAAACAAAATGAAACACAACTAAGAACTCAAAAAGGGTGTAGCAATTCGAAAGCAAGCAAAAGATTAAACGAAACAAAACAAAACAAGCAATCAAAACTAGCAAGTCACGGCAAAGACAAAAAGTAAAAAGAGCAGCAATTAAGAGTTCTAAGGCTATTAAACTTCCAAATTTTAATGAGCACTAGGGCTAGGATGGTGCCCTAATTCAAATATTCAGATTTGTGGATGTTAAGTTATTGAGTTTCCAGTTATCATATTGAATTCTTAATCTCTGTTTTATTTGATTCTATTTGTTTAATTTTTTTGATTGGCCCAGTGAGTCCCATATATACAGGTGGGGCTAATCTCTATTAAAGAGGTGGTAGCAATGTAAATGTGGTATTGATAGCCGAGTAAAGACGCAAGACAAGAACGGTGCTGTGGTCTGGGTTTGAGAGAGAGAGATAGGCCCTAGGCAGTAAGGAATTGGAATTGGAAGTGGAACTGAAATTGGACACACACAAGACAGCAACTGCATCTGCATGCCCTATTTGTTCGTCAGCTTCACGTGGAACACTTTCCAACATAACTTCAGACTCAGACTGAGTTTTATATAATAAGAAACCTAGGAAAAATATATAATCAGCTACCCTAGCTAGCAGATTATTTAGTGTAGACATGCACAACTAATTTTCTTCGCCACTTTTGATAAATTATAACAAAATTAACTTAAGATCGCATATGTATTATAATAAATATACTCCATGTAATAATTAGTATGTGAATGTACATGGTTGAAACCGTGGACTAGTCCTGACCTTTCATTTCATAAACCAAATTAACTATTTTGAACTTTTTCTTTCTTTTTTAATATCCCTTTTTATTATATGAAATATCTAAAAATCTTGAATTTTCAGCCATTTTACTCCCGAATTATATATATTAATATAGTAATGTTTCGATTCAAACATGCATTAGAAAGCGTAACGAGAGGGTTCAAGTTGATGAACAAAACAAAGAAGAAAATAACAGTAAATTAGATTGGGATTTTTCTGATGGGGGAGCTCCGTGAGTCGACACGAGTCATAGAATGTCCACGTGTGTCGAGTTGTACCCGACATGTAGTCCAACTAAGGGACAAAAGGAAGTAGTGAGGAGGACCCACCACCCCAAGAGATACGCTGCTGAAGACAACAGCAATGGTGGGCTAAGCTAATCTGGATTCATACGAGAAGCAGACTATGAGTGAAGGCAGCTGTCCCTTATAAACCCGAATATCAACCACAACTCGCCAAATCAACGCATGCAATGCAATGCAACTCAACATTACTTCCCTTATAAATAGACGACTACAAGAGCTCCCAACTCTCCAACTATACATTCGGCTTCAACACACACAGGTGACAGGCACTCTAATAATACTACCAGTCGTTTTTCTCTGTTGCTTCATTCCCTCCCTTCCCGCTCTCTATCCTCATTCTGCATGCATTGTCCTTGGAATAATAGTGACCTTGTTCATTCCATATCTATCTTCCTGGCCACTTGCATTCACTAGTTTACCATCCAACCAAGTATTCTCTTGACGGTTCAAACGAATAATATCTCTGAGTGCGTTGCGTTTGTGCCCTGTGCTCTAGCCACGTGGCGGTTGCCCATTACACTTCATTATATGACGCACCAAGTGCCCGACTGGGCCACCACCACCAACACCAACATTAACACGACGGAAGAGGGTGATTCTTCAAAGAGTTTTCAATATGAAGATTTTGGTCTACTTCCTGATTCTGTTGTCCCTCATCCTCAAACTGAAACTGAAACTGAAACTGATCATGATTATTCTGTTTGGAATATTAATACTAGTGCTAGTGGTGCAACTGGAGCAGCAGAAGATCATAATCACAAGTGTTTTCAAGAAATATTTGAATTCTTGTCCAATATTCAGCTTGAACCAACAATTACACCCAATGCTATTCTTTCATCCGACAAACACTTTGTATGTGATTTCGACAAGGGAGAATCGTCCAGTGGACTAAAAACCACCTCTCGTTTTATGGTCTCTGTCTGTCTCTGTACAAATTAAATTAATTTAATTACTACTTTCAATTAGTTTCTCCTTTGGAACTTTCTTTTACTCATTTTTACTAATTTCCTCTTTTATTTGCTTCATTTTTGTTTAGGAGACAAAATCAGTGTCTGGAGAGGGAATTAAGCCCAAAAGAACACGTGCTGCCGAACTACATAATATGTCTGAGAGGGTATTAAGCCTGCTCTACACTATTACTACAGCTAAAACAGGATTAATTAATAATCAAACTAAATTAATTACACTTGTTTTGAGCAGAAGCGTAGGAAGAAAATCCGGGGGAAGCTGGGAGCATTGCAGCAACTTATACCCAACTGTAACAAGGTAATGGTGGTTTCATTTCATTCATTAATAATTATCTCCTTGCTTTAGATTTGTTTCATTAATAAGTTTCAGTAAAATAATCTACCACTCAATACAAAATTACTACTGAATGTTCTTGTCTTCTAGGATGAAAATCCGGGTGATGATGACTGTGTAGATTATGCTGCTGACTAGGATGATGAGCAAGCTGAGACTCATCTTCTACATATTATTTTCCTTTCTTCTGCCTTACTGTTTCTTTAACCTTGTTCTGGTTATTATCTTCCATAAATAAATGGAAAAATTGCTTTGCTGATTTATACATTAATTGTTTCCTTCTTCTCATTGTTACTGAATCAATTGTGCTTTTCAAATTTTAGTCAGACCGAGCTTCAATGCTGGATGATGCCATCAAACATATTAAAGCCCTCAAGCTTCAAATACCAGTAAGTATCCTCTTTCTCTCTCTCTCTCTCTCTCTCTCTCCATCTTTGTTATACGCGTGGGGCAAATGTCTGTTCAATTAAACTTTGAATTGCCCAACTCAATAATAGTGATACTGTGTATGCAGTTTTATGTACATCAGATGACGTCCATGGGTGAAGGAGCTCTGTACCAGGCTTCAAATTTGTCCATGGCTGGGATGCAAAGCACACAAACACCCCAATTCATGTCGTATGTGCCCATGGGAACGAGCAATGCGTATGGAATGGGAATGGTTAATATGTGCTACTCAACAACGGGCCTTCCAATCATGTCTGTTCCCTCAGCCCGCTTCAATCCATTACAGCCAGCAACTGCAGGGTTCCCTCTAATGTCTGCACCAGGAGTTCTTCCTGTTAATCCCCGATTGCAAATGCCGATGCCATTCGTTGCTTCACAAGTAATGCCTACAGCCACTATCACATCCAGGCCCAGAAATATGGGTCAGCCGCAATTTGCTACAGATTTCTCTCACACATTCAACTATGCAAACCAAGGAGAGTCTAGTTTCCAAAACAATACAAACAACGCAGCTTCTGCTGACAACCAGAGAGTGCCAATTATAAGCAAGGTTCATTTCAGCCCTTTAGATTTTCCTGAATCATGTCAAATGGTTTTTCTTTCTTCATATGCTCTGTTTCTTCTGTTATCTATTGTTTTATATGGTTTATATATTGTGTTGTTCCAGAGTTTCACTTTTGATTGTGGGAATGTTTAATCTTTGTAGAAATCTAAGGTGCTGGCTAGTCATGTGGTAACACCCTGTTCATCAGTCAGTGACAAGTAGCCGATCACACTCCCCATTTTGACAGTTCATCTGGATGAGATAATTCAAGTCAGTAGAATTGCCATTTTTCTTTGTTGGTAACTTTACTGTTTGATGTTTGCTGGATGAAAGAAGGCAAGCACTAAACTAAGCAGCATACAAACAGAACAGAGCTTTCTTAAGTCTCTGCAGCTTGGAAACAATCAATCAACATGTCTTGTTTTCATTTATCTAGCTTCTCGTCATCTTGTCTTCCTCTAGATTATTCTAGAAGAGAAGTAACATAGTAGCTAGAGTAATGATCTGTGACCGGTTGGATCAAGTGTAGTATAACAATGGGAACTTTTTTGACCAAACAAGCGATAATATTTTATTAGATCAATTGAAAAAGTACAGAGAGTGTCATCTCGATTGTTGATGCATCGACAATGGGAACTTAAAAACCCAATTGTTGATGCTGTTATGAATTTTCACCATGTCAAACAAGGGAGGCTCTGGTAAATAGTAATCAAGTAAAGTTGTTCATGCCATAAATACTTATTTTAATGGATAAGACCACACTGAGTTCCTCATAACATGTCAATTTGAATGAGGGATTATTTACCCTCAAATTAATATACTTCAATACTATATTGCTAGTGATCAGCAGAAGAGAATTCTGAAGATAACCTAATCTGATACTAATCCATAATTGAATCTATAATCTGATGAATTATTTTATCTAATTTACTCTTTCTTTCCTCATTCCTGGAATCTTTTTAAGAACTTTGGACTCAAACATTTGGAACAATTTCTTCACCTCTTGGATGCATTTGGCAGCAAATGTATCGACCTGAGAAGGAACACCATATCTCTCATACAAAGCAGGCAGTGTTCCGAGAAGGAGAGTGCCTTCATACCAATAAACAGAAACTGGTTAGGTTAGGCACTCAAATAAGGAAATTACAAATATATCTGCAGTACAAATATGTGTATGTATTTATGTTGGTCTGGGATATTACTTGTATATAAAAGGCTCACAGAGCTGACACAATCTCCTAGAGCTGAAAACATCCATAGACAAACCATTGCCTGTATGTTGAGCAGTTAAACATCATTGTCAATCTTTAGAGAATGATCAGGGTAAACTGGTGAGAAAAAGTAAAATTGCATACCAAAACTAGGAGTTTCAAGTCTTTTCCGGCTGAAATTTCAAAGAATTTGAACAAAAAGAAGTTAATTTGTTGAAAGAAGTATCCACAAGTCGATTCTGAGAGTTGAAAGTTATTGCTATTAGGCGGACTCGGGAAGTAAGAGACCAAGCTTGGAGACCTAAAACCATACCTAACAAAGAACATGAATTAGAGTAGTTTAAAATATCGCTTTGTCAGAAAGAAGAAGAAAAAAACATTACAGGTTGGCTAGTTGTGTCCCTTTGTGCCAGACGAAAATGGCAAGCATAGCCAGCATGAGGATGTCACAAAAAACAGTTAAAAACTGGTATTCTAGTACTTCAAGTTGAAGCCATATTATGGTGAACACAGCTAAGATTGTAGCCGCTGATGTTTTGTCCTTCCATAACAATATGTGAGCCACTACAAAACCAAAACCAAAACCAATTTCAGGAAAAGTGCAGCAAATCATGGTACCGTGTTTGTGTAAGATTTTACCCTTTCCTCCTCCAAATATGGCATGCAGTGGCATTTGACGCATGGACATTGTTGGTTGGTTGATATGGTTCTGTTCAATGTCACTGCGTCTTAGCTTGCAACAGTGCTTGCTGCTGCCCTGTTTTGTTCTAGGTCTTTATATATACAAAAAGAAGCGTGCTCCTAATTAAGCTTTGGTAGCAAAGAAAATCACTTCATGGAAGAAAGGAATGGCCTTGGCATGGCTTACAAGATTGCTTCACATGCCTATTTCAGATCAATAGTATAATAAAATCAAATTCACGCTGTATTAAATATCTATTAATGGTTTTTGTATATCGCATTTTTGTGAAAGAAAATAATTCGAACTTTAATACAAGTATAATTATTTGATTAGCTCATCACTTTTCAATAATCAGGATTTTCTTTATAAATTTAAATAAATAAAAAAAAGAGGAGTTGGGTCCTGGGCTGAACTTTGGTTGAATTCTTTGGGCCTTGGGCTTTGTCATGGGCCTAAACTCAACGATTTATATAGCCCAATCTTTGGATTTTTGTTTTTGTTTTGATATGGTGGTCAGAGTAATTAGTGTTGCTAATAATTACAGTTTGAGATTTTATTATTATTATTATTATTATTTGGATGAGGGAAAAATAGAAAGCAAAGGTTGGTGTGGTGGTAAATAAGGCGTGGCTTTTGTGACCGGAGTGGACCACAAGTTGGATATAAAAGGGTGCGGTGGATCTGAACCACATGAGCCACTGATAATTAAGCATGCTCCATCCAACAATCATCATTAGTGCACATATGGCATAATGGCAGTGGCATGCATAAACTCACATCATTTTAACATCATTTTAACATCAAAAGAAGATGGTGATTTAGACTGGCTAGTAATATTTGACCATTGACCAAATGAAATTAGCACTGGTGATGAAAGAGATAGCAAATGTTGATCTTTCGGTGTTGAGCTTGTCATCATCATCACAGCGGATATATATATTTGAATATAAGTGATGGTTTAAACTACGAGGAATTATGGGCTTCGAATATGAGATAATTGTTATGCAAATCAATGCCCTTTATATTGAGCTAGACCTCGTTCACCACAATGACAAGATATTAAAAGCGAAATGTTTGCTTTAAAAAGATAAAGCTATTAGGGGAAATGCAATGTGATTTAAATAGGTAAATCATGGTCAGTAGCTAATCATGTTATGTTAAGCATATGGGTGGGGTGGGGCACTTTGGTTAATATCCTACTAGTTTAGTGTAATCATTTAAAAAATAATAATCGCTCCGATTAATCTCGAACTGATCGCAATCCTTTGCCACTCTTCTATAAATTGCCAAGAGACCTAGCTAGAGCTGCACTGCACCCATCTCTCTCTCTCTCTCTCTCTCTCTCTCTCTCTCTCTCTGACTCTTAGTTACAAACAGCAACATAACATACATAATAACAGATACATTGGTTGTTTGGTTGAAAGCTGAAGATGAAATCAGTGTGTTATTATAATGTCGCAATATTGTGCGTTGTAGCTTTTGTTCTTGTCTTTGGGGGAAGCCAGGTGTGTACGGAAGCAGTGACTTGCAGCCCACTGGAGCTAGCTCCATGCGCCACAGCAATCACATCCTCAAGCCCTCCCTCTGCCATATGTTGCGGCAAACTGAAGGAGCAGAGGCCTTGCCTTTGCAAGTATGTCAAGGACCCTAACCTCCAGAAGCTCGTCAACTCCCCAAACGCCAAGAAGGTGGCAAGCACTTGTGGCTCCCCATTTCCCTCATGCTCTAGCTAATCATCTCAAGTTTCATGCTCGCTTTATATCTTAATTACAACTTTGTTTTTGTTTATGATCTTGATTAGTAGCAGCATTGGCCAATAGGAGTGAGTGGTGTTGGTATTAAGAAAGAATAATGGTCCTGGCTTTCTCAGGCCCTTGTGACTTGGGAGAGACGGACGTATATGCCTAGTTATTGTTTGTGTTGAAGCTTTTTATTTTTGGTTTTGGTCTTGTTGTTGCTCTTGCAGTTAAGCTTTTAGAAGCAGCTTTATATATAATATATGGCTTTCCTAATTATATGCCTAATTTTCATTTACGTCCAATTAGTGAATAACCTAATGCTACTGGGCTTTGATTAAAATAAATCTAAAACTTCATTTTGTGGAAATAGCAATACCCAATTTCAGAGGATGCGTTTGTTAACGCATGGCGATATTACTTCCAATAATAACTCATTACACAGTGTAATTTGCTGCGGAAAAGGACTTGAATTTTTAGTTTTGATATTATTTTGAAAAGCTTAGGCCTTTGATTTATGATCCGTTCGTTTTCTTGATCATGCATCGGTTTCTGGATAATTTTCTTGATAATGCGAAGAACACCGAGGTTGATCTTCAACTTGATGGAGTTTTCAGCTTACTGCTAGATTATGTAATGGCTTTATAAAAAAAAAATTCAATTTGTTTGGTTCTTTCTTGTTTGACGTTTGTTTGTCCTGGTAAGATTGTTCTAGACAAAGGCAAGAATTTAGAATGAACCCATTAACATTGGACCTCTGTCGTAAATAGTAGATGGACAGTCAAGAGAACTTGTAAAATTCTTCTGAAATTGGGTTGAAAGATGGGAAAGGAGTCGTACAAAAAGCATTTTAAGCAGAGAATTATATACATACCACAAATCCAGAAAGATGGGAAAGGAGTCTTGGTAGTGCTATAATACCAGGAAGTAAGGAAAAGCATACAACCAGCATAAGTGGAAAATATAATTGGAAATCCACTTGTAACATACATGATGACATCCGTAACAAATAAGAAAAAACATACATGATGATGACATAGCATATACAAGTCTTTTAGCTCATGAAGGACCATTTCATATTTGCCCCATACAAGTTTTCCCCAGAAGCCCCCAACCCAAACTATGGAATTGATCGACTCAATCTCATACTACAATCATATCATGGCCCCCCAACAAAACGAAAATGTCAAATACCAGAACTATACCTTCTCAAATCCACTGGTTTGCTGTTGCTGCTGCTCATGATTTGCATAATTAGAAGTGCTCATGCCAAGGCCTTCATTTCTGTGCTTCTCCCATCCCCCAGTATCAGCTTTGGAATGTGCCCAGTAGTAAAAAATTGACCCTGCCAATGACAACAGTGTAAGAGCAGCGGCGGCGGCAAACACGCCCTTACGCAGAGTGGAACAGGACAAGTCATCTGCGTTAAAGATTCCCCGGTACTTGGTGTGGTACGCATTCTTTGCTGACCCTGCCAACAAGCATGCCTCGGCTCCCAAAAAGCTTGTCCTAAGTAATTCATAGTTCAGAGTCTTCAGATTTTGATTTAGCAAAATGAAGCAAATGGGATCATTTACAGAAACATAATACTAGAGAGTAGGGAACAGCATTCACTCAAGGCTCAAGCGCGCTAGAGTAACAAGGGAAAAACAAAAAATTCACAATGGAGGTTACGCGCCGAATCCATACTGTTTATTTGGGTTGTCACTATTCCAAGTAAGTAATGGTAGAGATACCAAAACAGTCCCAACTCTAAACCAATGTAGTTTAATGAAGCAATAGTGTTTCATGTGTTCATATCTACACCCACTTAACCCCACACTTATTTCTAACAAGATACTGCCATATCGTCTATAACATTGTTTAAGAACCAAACTTTGGGAAAAGTTTTGGATATGCTCCTGTGTCATCCATTGATAAGTTCCACAATGCGTAAAAATGTCAAAGATGTTGAAATTAAAGCACTCTCGGATTGATAAAGGGGAAAAGATAAGTAAAGGTAGGGGCCAAAGTAAGGGAATTGGGTCTAAATCATGACTTAAGCTACTTTAACTTTTCTTTACCAGATTCCAGACAAATGAAAAACAAAAATGAATGCACTGTAACTGTGTAACAACTCCAATAAACTATTGGATCATCTAAACGTAGAGTGGCACTGTGGCAATTAAAATCTAAAGCAAGTGCAAAAAGTCTCAGATTTTCGCCATCACAAGAAACATGTAGGCGGTGGACAGGGCAGGGCAGGGCAGGTGGTGGCTCATAAACAACTGATGAGTGACATATTAACCAAATGAACAAGTGATTTGGTCATAATTGGAAACCCAATTAGTAGATTGAATCTGATTCCTTCCGTCTAAGTTGTACTAAAGATGGAAGGATTATGACCGTTGATCCAATCCTCAAGCTGAGATTAAGACACTCCAGTGGGACCAGTGTGTACTAAATTACTAATAAGATGAACAAGAAATTACAAAACAAGAGGGGGGAGAAAATGGTAAATTTACCAGGAGAAGACGAAGAAGAAGACGGTCCAAGTGGTGGCGCTGCCAGTCACTAAGCCTTTGCCGCAGCAGAGACACCTCGTGACGCCGTTTAGCACCGTCTGGCTGAGGAAAAGCAGCCCAAACGCCGCTAATCCGTACGCCGTAGAAGCGTCCGTCCCGTACACGCAGTAGGTGTGCTCGTCGTACTCATCAGGCACTATCTTAGCCTTCACAGACGCAAACACAAAAAAGGTTAGAGCTTTAACTTCAATAAAACACAGAGGGAGAGGAGAGAGAGATATGATGTTACCGTGCTACGGCGTCGTTCAGCACCGACGGCCAAAACGAAGGCGATGAGGTGTAGAGAGGTGACGATTGCCACTATGGGTATGGAGACTGCCATTACTCTCTATGTGCGAGCGAGTGTGTGTGGTTGGGTTCACTGAAAATATCTCTGCTTTTGATGAAAAAGAAAGAAGTAGGCAACTTTCGTTTTTTTTTTTTCTTTTTATTCTTTGGGTGAAGAAAATCGGGAATTTGTCGCTGCCCTGGTTTAGGTTTCCTACGTTTGGATTGGAGTTTCACATGTTGCTTTTTGCTGCAAAATAAAAAATAAAATAAAAACTTCAAAAAGGGGTGAGTGATGAGGCAGCTAGAGTTTGTCTTCAAGTGCGGTGGTGGGGGTGTGAACGTTAATAACATCTACAAACATAAATGGGTTTGGCCAGATAGTCAGCAGGAGCGCGGTTGGATTGTCGGAGGGCCAGTTTGCCGGTTGTGCTACCGGATATAGGAGGTCACCCCTTCAATGATGGATGGGTTTGATGTGGATTGATCGTTGTATGCATTCACACACATTAACATTATCTATATCTTTGCGACTAAATAATTAATCATTTTATGGTAACGCATCAACTAACCGTTAGTCTAGTGATATTGCCCATACTTAGCACCAACAATGATGACATTGTATGATAATTTTTTACCATTTTTGTTACAGATTTATATTATATATATGAGAGGGACACGATGCTTTTGAGATTCTTGTTTTGGTAATTGGTTAAGGATTACTTAGTGATTGTTTAATACCTAAACCTAAACATAGAACCGGATCCTTTTAAAGGTGACCTAGTATATGGACTTTTTTCGGGCCTGGGCTGTCCGTGTTTGGGCCTTTAGCAATTTAGAGGTGGTTTGGACTTTTTGTTGTTTGTTTCCGCCACAAAAGAGTGCTCAAATATCAATCCACATACGAATGAATGAATGTACGATTGACTCACTCTCAGTTTGACTTTTGGGTTCGGTGCTAATTAATTATCCAAATTCCTAAGATAACGCAAAGCTAACAAACATGGCACGAAAATAAAGCATAAGCATTGGCCAAAAAAGGCCATACGCGGCGCCAAGACGAAGAGCAAATCTTCAATTTGGTCATCATCATCGTAATTACTATATTAAGAAGAAGAGGCAGCCACTTAATTAGAGTCGATCCTGTCTCTGATCTTATTACAAAACGCAAAACAAGAAACAAAATCCAACCCATGAAACAAGGAAACAAAATGTAATCTTCGCAGATTGCTCTCCATTCACATAATTACCAAGTATCACGTCATTTCTTAAGACCTCATTCCGAAATCTCTATCCATCCACATCACTCGCTCGTTATATTTATACTCATCTCTCTCTCTCCCTCTCTCTCTCTCTCTCTCTCTATATATATATATATATATATATATGTGTGTGTGTGTGTGTTAGAGATAATTGATCTTCGTCCAGTGCAACGTTACTCACTGTTTTCATCAATGGCTAATTCTGATGTGTCAATGGTTTTGCCTAGGGTTCTTATCGTCTCTCGACGAACCCTCCGCAAGAACAAGTTTGTAGATTTCGTGGGTTAGTCTCTATCTCTTCGTTTGTTACTTTGTTTGGCTTTGGCTACCAACTTTTTACGTATATCCATCTCCTTGGAATATAATATGCTGTTACTCAGATTTCTCAGCAGTTCTTATAGTTTCAATGCAAATGGAACAATACCTTTGGTTATCATAAACTTACTTTGGTTTTTATTATTTCAAACATCAAATAAAATCATTCAGTTGCTCTTGATTTTAATTTTGATTATTAAAACATCTTGTGGGACAGGTGAATATCATCTAGATCTAATTGTAAGCTATGGAGCAGTACCTGTTATTGTCCCCAGAGTCAGTGGAGTCCACATGCTACTCCAAAGCTTTGAACCAATACATGGAGTTCTTCTCTGCGAAGGTGAAGACATTGATCCGTCCCATTACGATGCGCAGCTCTCTGGTTTCTCTCCAGACGAGCTAGAAGAAATTGGCAAGCTACATGCAAGCGATACCGCCATTGATAAAGAGAAAGACTCCATTGAACTGGGGCTTGCAAAGCTATGCCTAGAAAGAAACATCCCCTACTTGGGAATATGCAGAGGATCCCAAGTCCTCAATGTTGCATGCGGAGGCACACTTTATCAAGATGTTGAGAGAGAACTTTTGAAAGAATGCCCAGATCAGAGTTGCGCTCAAAGAGTGGCTCACATAAACTATGAGAATTATGATGGGCATAGACATGGGGTGAAGGTGGTGGAGAATACACCTTTGCATCAGTGGTTCAAAGATTCTTTGGATGATGAGAAAATGGAGATGTGGGTGAATAGTTATCACCATCAGGGGGTTAAGAGATTGGCAGAGCGATTCGCGCCGATGGCTTTCGCTCCTGATGGTTTGGTTGAAGGGTTTTATGATCCGGATGCCTATAATCCTGAGGAGGGGAAGTTTATTATGGGACTTCAATTCCATCCGGAGAGAATGCGACAACAGGATTCAGAAAACTTTGAATATCCAGGATGCGCAGCTGCATATCGGGTAAGACCTTAATTAATTTGTTCTATTGTTTTGTTTTTTCATGTTTGTGGTTTGTTGCGTGTGTCATTTGTCATGGTTAATATTACCATTCATGCAGGAATTTGTTAAAGCAGTGAGAGCTTACGAAAAGAAGCTCAGTCAAAACTCGGCATGTGTGCCAAAGGCTCCACAGCTTGATCAGGACCAAGAGATGAAGAGGAATAGTATTGTAAAGAGCTTCTCTATTGCCAAAAACATGTATTCTAGGCGTGGAATTGTTTCAGGCAAAGAATCTGATCAACTGGACGTTGGAGCAGAGTTTCTGGAGGTGAGTAATTAAACGATGATTATATTCACATTAGCGCTCATCTTTCGATTTGAATGGTCTAATGTTGTGGTATATGCAGGCAAATACAGCACTGAGTTTGCAGCAAGAGAAAAGGCTGAAGCAGATGGGGGCAACAGTAAGAAATGCTTCGGCATACATACAACGACTGAAGATGGGCGAGGAGAGGGAGAGAGTTGCAAAGGCCATAATTGGGAAGATGTCGATAGAGCAGCTTTCTGATTTGTTGTCTTTCTACCGCATTATGAGTCAGATGTGTTCCGACGCTTTGGACACCAAGTTCCATGCCCTACTTAATAATGAAGTTGAAGTTGATGGATCTTGAATTTTCATTTGCTGTAAAACATATGATTTCCCCGAGCCTTTATATTGGACTTCTGATCTTTCTTTCCTACCTCCTGAAAATTGTTTCCCGTTTGCGCTCTGTGTTCTTCTCTTTCTTGCGTTGAAATTTTAAAAATAATAATAATTTGGTTTGAGGAGCCTCTTTGCCGCTTAAACCCACAGAGCAGAATAAACAATCTTTACGCCATAAAACACAGTTCGACGTATAGAGTTTAAAAGCGGGCGGTTGTGACTCCAAACAAAAACACATACGGGTAAGCTCAAGCTAAACACTTAAATACAATCACCATATCAAAATCCCCTCATAGATAAAATTACACATGCTAACATCATCATCATCATCGTGGCATAAAAAAAGAGCCTGGTTTTTCTTTTATAATATACCCTTCCTTACTAAGAACAAAATACAGAAAACGAGCAAGACAGAGCTTGCTTCCATTAAAAAGCAACTTGGATTTAGCTAGACCTATAGCTTATCTAACTATATTTCCTCTATTCACTTTTCGCTGAGGTTATTGCAGCCTTCATCACATCACATGCCAAAGCTTCACTTTTCTTTAAGTTACCTTCATCCTTTTCTTTTCCTTTTCCTTTTCCTTTCTTTCTTTCTCCTGTAGTAAAATAACAGAAAACCAAAACGAGGGAATCCCTGCATACCAACTTGCCACCCTGAATTTCACACAATACAGGGATTTTTTCACAAGTAACTCATGCAAACAGGCTTCACTTCTAGAACGGTGGTAGCAACACAGTTAGTAACATCTTCATAGTTCATATCATCTACGGCTGAAAAACACAAAATCAGGGTGATTGACCTGCAGCACTCTTAGAAAGTTGTCAGCAGCCTGCGAGAGGGAGTTAGCTAACTGGCGTTCAAATCCCCCATTAGGAGTCCACAAGGACCCTCTGAATTTGTATGAAGCAAGGCCAAAAACAGGTAATGACATCTTAGGGACACCATCCATGTCACTCGGATATGTCACTAGAGGAGCCCGGGCCTCTTGTACACCTGAAACATTACATTACGTAAATAATATAAGCAACTGAGAAATAGATGAGTTTAGTTTGACAACAGCAGCAAGAGTAATCAAAAGAAGAGACTAGCTTATCAGAGATGATTGTACAATCCCTAGAATGATTCTAAAGAAAACAACTTAGCATTTAGACAATTATCCAGCCCTTTTATATTTATTTGTGGTCCTGAGACAGTTGCACTTTAGTTATACTTCACACCTAATGACATCATCAGCAGTATATCTGTCTGCCAGATTAAATTTTGACACGGAGACATGCATGCAAGTGCTGGGGATAAGCGCAATACATAACTCCGGAGTAAAACAGATATATCCAACATAATGGAATTATGGAAAAGCTTTCTTTAATTGACAATAATAAAATTCCCGAAGTAAATTTCTTAAATTAGAAAATAACATATATATGCAAGCCAATAGACTCCAGAAGTAATTAGGGTAATACTCAATTTATCGTCACATAGTAATATACAATCAGACGGACACACTAAATGTAACAGCCTGGCATCTCAAATTTGTTATAAAGAGCAAATGTCAGGGAACTAACTTTCATCATCAGAAAAACCATGCACACGACAAACTAACAATGATACTAATTATTACCTCCCATGGGTGTAAATTGCTCAAATTATAAAATACCATCTATAAGGAAAACCAATAACTCCAGAATGTAGTTAGGATAATATTCTTTCTGTCGCCACGTTGTGAGATATGAATCACATGATTACATATGAAAAAATTAGACCACGTCATCAGATATGATTACATGTGGAAAAATTAGACAGATGAACAAAATGAAACAACCTGGCATCTCAAGTGTATAAATTATGCAGAGCGAATGCCAGGGGACAAACTTCCATTCTCGGAAAAACCATGCACACAAGTTTTCAAAACTAACAGTGAAATTGATTAGTACCTCTCATGGATGTAAAAAGTGAATGGTACGTCAGAAAGCACGCATCAAGATCCTTTAGAGTTGGTCCCGTTGGAATCCTGTAAATTGGATACCTGAAACAATTATACCAAAACCAATTAGTCATGTGAC